TTCAGGGGAGCCCCTTATATTCTGCAGAGCAGGTTATGCCTCATGTCCACCTTGCACTATTGCACTGGTCACAGGTGAAGGCCGGTCCTGGGGTGACCTGATGACATCAATCTGTTGTATGAACCTCCTTCCGACACTTATCACTCAGCCAAGCTGAGACGCTCAGGGACAGGGAACTGGCCACACCAGCAAACACTGGCCTGGAAATCTGAAAGGAACAGCTCCACTGACAACTGACCAGCCAAGCGGCCAGGAGCCCCGGGTGTGGTCAGTTTTCTGAGCCTTCCTGGCCAGGCCACTGCACTCAGTGACTTAAATCCAAGGCCAATCGAGGCGTTGGTCTGAAGGTATTTCAAAGGTGTGGTTAACATCTACCATCCTCTGATGTTAAAGAGAGGTGATTATCCTTGATAAGGCTGGTGGGCCTCGTCTCATCAGCTGAAGGTCAGAAGCAAAACCTGTGCTTTCCCCGAAGAGGAAGGAATTCTGCCTCAAAACAGTTGCATCCATGGCTGCTTGAGTTTCCAGCCTACCAGTGTACGCCCAACAGATGTCAGACTTGACAGCCTCCGCAACTGCATGAGCCAAATCCTTACAACAAATCTCTTCAGTGGGTGCCCCACTGGTCTGTCTCTGCAGAACCCGACTGGCACAGCAAGGCCAGGCCCCACCACGCTGGATTCCAGTGGATGCTGAGCTCAGGAAGGACGGGCAGAAGCCTCTGCTCCAGAGAGGATCAACACAGAGAAGATGCCACCCGCCTGCATTTCCAGAACATTCTGGATGCGAGGGCTGGCACTGGGGGACCGGTTGACATCTGTGTCATAGCTCAGATCCGCTGAGCTGAGCTTCCTGCCCTGCACTGGTCCACATCAGCTTCACCATTTCCCATCCAGGAAGCGCTCAGCGCTGGCTCACAGGCAGGTGGCTCAGCCGTGCGCTCGTCCTGGGCAGTGCCCAGCGGGCAGGCACCACTGCACATCCAGGAAGAAGACGGAGATGTTGACAAGGTAGCCTCCCTCGGGAGCAGCCACCAAAGTGTGTCCTAGTTTGCTCCCAAAGCTGGAACCGCCTCTAACGAGCCTCGGATGGGACACCTCTGAGCATCTCAGGGCTCCATGACAGCCTGGGAGAAGAAACGACTGACGCTTCCATTGTCTCCCTGCAAGAAAACGGTCCAGTTCCTCCACACATGGTTTCATTTCCCAGGAAGAGACCCTCGCCGGAGCCCGCCACTTTGCAAGTACCAAGGCGACTTCCCCAGTTAGCCAGGAACACGGGAGTAGCTTCCAAAGGGTGGTGTCTTTCTTAGGGACTTGATGCCTCAAGGCCAAGTTCAAGGTTGCCTTGAGCACCCCCCACACCCCATCCCAAATTCCCGGGGTGACCAACCTTGGGCTGGGGAGGTGGCCCCCACGGTCCAGCCAGGAGGGCAGGTGGACGTGGGCTCCTGAGGAAATGCACAGACCTGCATCGGAGGAAACGGTATTCACGCGTCTCCCTTATTTATTTATTCCTCCATTTGCTTATTTGTTCATTCATTTATTTAAATCCGGCCAGAAGGAAAGTTTTACTTCTGCAACATCGTTCTCAGCTCCTGGCTCAGGCTCCTTTCTGAGCCTTGCTAAATGCAGACTGGCACTCGAGAGCTGGCCTGAGGCCAGACTTGGCAAAAAGGGCCAGGGCACGGATCCCCCTGCTAACTGCCAGCTGGAAGCCACACTGCTGCCCTCTGCCCAAAGTGCTTTCTCTGATTCTTTCTCCTTCTCCCCTCCATCTCTGCCTTTCTCTGTCTCTGCCTATCTCACACACGCACACACACACACGCACACACACACGCACGACACCCATGCTGATGTATTTCACGCAGGGCGAAACGAGCCTTGGAAGAAGACCTCTTTAGACACACACCCCACCCCATCGTGACTATCCTGGCGTGTACGGGATCACGGGACTCCATCAGAAACAGAATCCACCACTCTGCTCAGGGCTACGTGGCAGCCTGGATGGGAGGGGAGTTTGGGGAGAGAGTGGGTCCATCTAGATGGATGGCTGAGTCCCTTTGCTATTGACCCAAAACTATCACAGCAAGCCTCCCTCGGGAGCAGCCACCAAAGTGTGTCCTAGTTTGCTCCCAAAGCTGGAACCGCCTCTAACGAGCCTCGGATGGGACACCTCTGAGCATCTCAGGGCTCCATGACAGCCTGGGAGAAGAAACGACTGACGCTTCCATTGTCTCCCTGCAAGAAAACGGTCCAGTTCCTCCACACATGGTTTCATTTCCCAGGAAGAGACCCTCGCCGGAGCCCGCCACTTTGCAAGTACCAAGGCGACTTCCCCAGTTAGCCAGGAACACGGGAGTAGCTTCCAAAGGGTGGTGTCTTTCTTAGGGACTTGATGCCTCAAGGCCAAGTTCAAGGCTGCCTTGAGCACCCCCCACACCCCATCCCAAATTGCCGGGGTGACCAACCTTGGGCTGGGGAGGTGGCCCCCACGGCCCAGCCAGGAGGGCAGGTGGACGTGGGCTCCTGAGGAAATGCACAGACCTGCATCGGAGGAAACGGTATTCACGCGTCTCCCTTATTTATTTATTCCTCCATTTGCTTATTTGTTCATTCATTTATTTAAATCCGGCCAGAAGGAAAGTTTTACTTCTGCAACATCATTCTCAGCTCGTGGCTCAGGCTCCTTTCTGAGCCTTGCTAAATGCAGACTGGCACTCGAGAGCTGGCCCAAGGCCAGACTTGGCAAAAAGGGCCAGGGCACGGATCCCCCTGCTAACTGCCAGCTGGAAGCCACGCTGCTGCCCTCTGCCCAAAGTGCTTTCTCTGATTCTTTCTCCTTCTCCCCTCCATCTCTGCCTTTCTCTGTCTCTGCCTATCTCACACATGCACACACACACACACGCACACACACACGCACGACACCCATGCTGATGTATTTCACGCAGGGCGAAACGAGCCTTGGAAGAAGACCTCTTTAGACACACACCCCACCCCATCGTGACTATCCTGGCGTGTACGGGATCACGGGACTCCATCAGAAACAGAATCCACCACTCTGCTCAGGGCTACGTGGCAGCCTGGATGGGAGGGGAGTTTGGGGAGAGAGTGGGTCCATCTAGATGGATGGCTGAGTCCCTTTGCTATTGACCCAAAACTATCACAGCATTGTATGTTAACTAGCTGGACCCTGATACAAAGTAAAGTTAAAAAAATATTAAACAACAACGAAAAAATAGAATCCATCACTGTTTAGAGGGCTGGTGGCACAACAGCCCTTCAACACTGTTACATTCTTCAGAACAGAGCAAGTCTCAGGAACAAATGCAGTGAACGGTTGGTGGGAACATTCTATTTGGACAAGATTTACCTGTGAAGTATTTATACATATTATATGCAATGATGAACCTGCTGGACTCTACGACTGCATTCCCACCCTGGGCCTCCCAGAAGTCTAGGAGCTTTCGCTTGATGAGGTCCAGGATGAGCCCACCTCGGCTAGAATCCACTTCCAGGACCAGTGTCACAGCAGAAAGGCAGCATCCCGATTCCGAGGAGAAACGCGATGCAGGGAAGTGAAGGACTCCCTGGAGCCCAGGTTAAGTCCTAGCACCTCCCATCTCTGTGTCTGGCACGTTCAGCCTCACGCGTGACGTTCCCTCTGGGGACTCTGACTTGGCACCTTCACCGACACTACACTAGAAGCTGACTCGACGGTCTCCAGCATGTATAAAACACGACACTTATTTAAAAACACACTGACCATTAAAATATGTAAGTAGCAAAAAGGGTCTCCTCTAGCTCCAACAGAGCGGGGTGTGGAATCAGACACCCTTGGTTTGGATCCAATTTCCGAGTGGCTTGAAGTGATGCTCTGGGTTAGCCAGAAAATGCCTGAGTCTCAGTTTCCTCATCCATCAGATGGGGACAAGCGTTCCTCTTGGGGCTGCTGAGAGGACTGGCAGACCACTGGATGCCTACAAAAGGGCTTTCTATGTGGTAAGGCACCAGAAAAGGTGAGCTGTTCTTGTGACTCTAGGCAGATTATGCAAATTTAAATGAAATTCTCTTTGTCCTGGGATTTTAAATGACTCTTCCTGAATATATATGGGATATTTGATCACAAGGGCTTCCCAGGTGGCACTAGTGGTAAAGAACCTGCCTGCCAAGGCAGGAGACAAAGAGGATCAGGTTCGATCCCTGGGTCGGAAGATCCCCTGGAGGAGGGCATGGCAACCCACTCCTGTATTCTTGCCTGGAGAATCCCATGGTCAGAGGAGCCTGGCAGGCCAGAGTCCACAGGGTTGCAAAGAGTCGGACACGGCTGAAGCGACTTAGCATGCACGCACCCATTATATCATAATTGAAATCAATTTTACTTTTCAAAACGGCATCCGATGAAATGCTTTTGAATGCCTGGGATAATACATTCGCTAACCTGCTGCATTTAGGTGACGGCAGCATGACACGCTCAGAAGAGTTAACACTTCTGAGCGATGCTGGTGCTTGGTTTTAAGTGTAAGTAAAGATGAAGGGGAAAAGCGAGCGTTCAGAGCCGGTGATGGGGGGGGGGCGGGGGCCAGAGGCAGCGGGTCCATCACGTGGTGCGGACGTGCGCTCTGCTGCCTGCCCATGGGCTGACACTCTCCCGCCGTGAAAACCTGAGATGGTTTTACTTTCGGGGCAGGAAAACCCTCCGAGATCAGTTCTGCCATACGTGGGCAAGGCCTCCCCTTCCCACGACACCCTCACGCCTGGGAAATTAGAACTGCACATCTCTTCAAAGCGAGTTCTCGGTAAATACACTACCGGTTATTCACAACCTCTGTCCTCCACGCAAACCACTGCGAACACAGTTTCGCAGCCTTGCGCAGGGTTCCTGTGCAGTGGCCTCACTTTCTGAAGCCGCCTTGGGGGCAATGCCACCCAGCTCCACTCGGCCTTTTCAGGGGCCGGGGACCCAGGCGGCCGGGAGGATGGAGCCGGCGGTCTCCTTACCTTGAGCCGTTCACCTGGCTTGGGTTACATTCCATCTTGATGGTGACCCTGGCTGGGGGCTGAGACAGCCAGTCCTGCTGAGGGACGCGTGGGCTCATCTTGGAGGTCTGTCCATAGTCGCCGGAGGAGGACGCGGTCATGTCCGTCTTGGGCAGGTGCGGCGTGCCGTAGGCGCACTCAAACAGTGACTGGTCCTCGCTGACGACCGATAACGCTTCCTAAACGCCCAGAGAAACACACCTTCAGGACATGCCAAGGGGTAGCTGTGCTTCAGAAAGTCGCTAACGTTAGAGTCATTTCTAACGGGGACCCCGCTGCCTAGGTACCTTTTCTGGTATCCATGTCTACCTTTCAGAAGAAAAAAGGAGCTGGCTTTCTTTCCCCGAGAAGGTAAGAGGTGGGACTGGCAGACTCAGAAAAACTTCTCTGCAGGTCCCCAAACATCCCAGGCCTGACTGCAGCCGTGCAGATAATATCCACTTTAATCTCGACTCAAGGAAGTTGGATTTCAAAGGTCTTAGAAGACATCCAATTGCACGTGTCATTATTTGACAAATGCAATCTATAATTCAAGCAGGCAGGGTACAGCATGGTCATGAAGATTAAAAAACAGACATGTGACCGCTAACACCTAAGCATCTGGCAAAACTGCCACATTCCCAGGAGATTTTTAAAGAAGAGCTACTTAGAAGAAGAGTGTGGGGGAAATGGGGCGCCAAAGGACAAACAGACAAAGATACGAATTTTTCCATTTCTAAGTTATTAGCTGAGATAGAGTTTCAAGTGGTGCTTCCATGATGGCGAACATCTGGATGATAAATGAACCAAAAAAAAAAAAAAAAAAGCTGTGAATTAGCCAGAGGCCTCTAGGATGTTTAAAATATCTATATCACTGAATGGCTCTTTTTTACCCTTACTTTCTATTCCTATCTTTGCTCATTTTGCATGATTTGTTGAAAATAAAGAGCAATGTGGCATTGTTGGAGCATTCTTCTGTGGCTTTAAGCCAAACAAATGGTTAACCTATGGCTAGGCTGACACTGTACAGCCACATCCACAGAGGCAAATAGGATTGGGAAATTTCAGCTGCTTGAATGATACCTCATGCAGCTACACAGAATAACTACAACACAATCCAATTTGGCTTTCTATAGTTTAAAAAAATAAAGTCCGCACGGGAATTCATGTTTATTTCCTTTCTTAAACACCCTTGGTACTGCTATGAGCTTTTGAGAAGCAAATGCTGTTTGCATCACATATTTTCTATAAAATGGAAAACTACGGCAACCTTCTGGTCTGGACTTCCCATCCCCCAGAGGGGAAAATCTGAGATCCGGAAAGGTCCAGACCTCACCTAGAAGTGAGCAACCCAGGATCAAGCAGGGAATTCATGAGGACACCAACGAGTGTTTTGTCATCGGCTCCCTCCTGCCCCCAGAGCCTACGTATGACGCTCTTCTTAAACATTTCTCGGTTTGGGATATGGGTCTGCATTAGCATTTCTTAGCATTTCTTGTTTGAATTGATACTTAAGTCAGGATGCTCTTCTCCACCCCATTGTTAGTATTAATAACAAAGCTCTTCCAAGCAGCCTTTCTAAGAGAGAAACTCCCCTTCCTACAGATACAAAGAAGTATCTGAATCTTTAGGGAGCACACGCAATTTCACAAAGCACCCCCCAATCCAGTGTGTACCGCCTGCCATTCTACCTCCTCCCCACCCACCCAGGGACCAACTTCTTCATCACTCTCCAACTGCATGAACTTCACAGCCAGCCGGGCACCCTGAGCTACGAATCAGTGAGCAGGCAGAATCACGAGGAGCAAACTCAATGCTCTGGATCTGAGTGGTAGCCAAGTGTCTGTGTGGAGGTTCACAGCCCCCTGCCCACCACTGACATGGCTAAAATCCCTTAGAACCACAGTCCTGTGATATTTGGGGAAACAGTGAGCTGAGGATTTAAACAGTAACACAAACTCTACAAAACAGTGTGCTGGACCAACCGGAGAGCCAGAGTAGGCCCAAGAAAGAAAGAAAAAGAAAGAAAGAAAGAAGGCATCTTGACTACCCAGCAAAAGCAAACACATCAGCAAACAGCAGCAATCTGAGAAACGCACCCGGCAGATGGGGAGGGGGGCAGGAGGTTGAGGGGGGCGCTTGAACCTAGGCGCTCTCTGGTCTGGTCACACAACGGAGTGAGCGGATGTAAGGAGTCTCAACTCACAGATGCGGGGTTAAAAATCAAATCGGCACCACGGACTTAGTGCAGTCCGGCGAATCCACAAAGGCAAAATTAGCGCTTCTTCAATAAAGTTTGCAAAACAGAGTCTGCCTTCCCATAGCAGCACTGGAGAGAATGCTTTTTACACATTCAGAACAACAACAAAAAAAACCAAGGCACTCCTGCCTGGTCCTGCAGACCCCACCAAGCCTCAGAGGGGAATAACATACTGTGTAATGTTAGCATTGGCTCACTGACCTAAGAAAAACACGAATAAACTGGCAGAAAGGGGTTAAATGCGAGGGACAGACTTCACATCACAAATGAGTAAGAAGAAGGCTTTCACAGCACAAAGAGTAACGATGTTAAAATAGGAGTGTATCCCAATAACATACTATGTAATGTTAGCATTGGCTCACTGACCTAAGAAAAACACAAATAAACTGGCAGAAAGGGGGTTAAATGCGAGGGACAGACTTCACATCACAAATGAGTAAGAAGAAGGCTTTCACAGCACAAAGAGTAACGATGTTAAAATAGGAGTGTATCCCCTAGATAAAGCAGGATATTCTGGCAAACACAGCCAGTGACCAAATACATAAACGCAGCATAGGATTTAGACACTGGGCCTGAAACAAGCCTTCAGTGTGTGTTTGGGGCGGGAGGAACCTATTCTCACATCTGGCATAGCATTATTTCACCACATGGTTTTCTAAAGAAAGAAATCAAAGTTAATGGAGATCGATTTACGGGAAGAAATTGACAAAAAAGCTAGAGATACCGGGGGCACACAGCTTTCCTGCATATCTGAAAACTCTCCTCTGCGTTAATCCTTCGTGAGGACGGTCATAGCCTTCAGAACAGCAGAAGTTGCTTTTCTTTGCTAGAGGAGAAGTCGTCTAAAAATGAGATGGCTTTAAGATAAAACGTTTCATTTCAAACGGGGTGACATGAGGTCCGTATTCTGGAAAGACAGAGTGTGCCCCGAAGTGATGCTAAGTAAGCCAAAGCAGCCAAACATCTAGGATTTAGTACAAGTCAGGAAAAGATACATAATAAATGGAATCACATACACACACTCACACACATGCCAACTTAGCACGCTAGAACAATGAAGGAGTCAAAAAGAAGCTGAAGGGTGGCTTTCAGAGACCTGCTTCTAACAAGGGGGCTCCCTAAAGTTAACCGCTGTTCTTTAGAAGGAAAGGAACGCCATACACCAACAGCAAGCCTTTGTTCACCCACTTGCCTTTGTCTATTACGTGCGGATTTCATCATGCCTTTGGTCCCAGGATGAATGACAACGGCTGAGGCATAGGATTCTCCCGCCCCAGCGGCCCTGGGACTTCAAAGCTGGGGAAGGAGCCCAGCCCAGTGGATTAAAAGCAGAACGGGCCACTTCTCAGGGGCTGGTAACCAGGACCACGTGAGGCCCGTGTCTCCAGCTCTGCGAGTGACTATTCCTGGCCGCGACGGATGCTCTCCCACTCCCCTGACACCTGGCTTCCCGCCTCATCCGCAGCCATCTCACCTACCTACCTGCCTACCTGCCAAGGGTGTGGGCAGATGCCTTAGTTAACATGTATGGCTTATTCCCTCAGAACCTTCGGCCAGCCTCGGGGACTCGGGAACTGTTTTGGTTACTTTATAACAGAGAATTCAAGAAAAAAAAGTCCAAACCTGGCAGAAATGTGGCATAATAATTTAATACGCCTGCCTCTGTGTTACTATAAAAAGACATGAACTTTAGATTGGTGTGTGCTGGTGTGTGTGGGGTGTTTTTCTGTAGCTCCAGAAAGCTGGAATATTCTGATGTGGCCGGTGGCAGGCGACCAATGCCATTTTTATGAACTTAGAGGAGAAATGCATAAATTCTAAGCAAATGGCCCCCCAAACAAACGGGACCGCTGTGTTAATACGTACTGTTTATTATTATTTAAATACTGAATACACCAACAACATATGAGGACCAATCCTTTGGACTCTGGTCATAGCAGTTGACCAGCAGTTCCAGAAAGTGAAGAGAACTCGACTAGATTATATTTCAAACGTGAGGCTAAAATATGATTCTGTTTTTAAGTAACTAGATTTGGGTACAACAAAGGATCCACAATGCTTATATTAAAAAAAAAAAAAAGTTGAATGCACATTTAAGCATACTGACATTTCCAGCAAAAGATTTCAGAGATCCTGTAACAGATGAATTTTTTTATGTAACAGATGAATATTTTGAGAGGCTCCTATGGTTCCAGCAGAAGAATTATAAAATAAGGGTCTGGACTCAATTTGGCTTCTAACTTTTGATCCCCATAGTTCATAAAAACACTGAAATGTCAATACAGAGAACACAACATACTTAAATTTTCATGAAAATCTGGGCGTGGTAAAGTGTTGAAACTAAGAAAGTCTTAAAGAATGGTTGGCTCGCTTTCACAGCTAGAGCCAGGAGAGTATACAGAGGAAAATGATCCTTACACGGTTTTCAAAAACCCAGAAAATGGCCAGAACTAGATGTCCAGAGGACGGGATTCCCGTCGACTCTCAGCTTCCTCAAGTCTCACGTGCCTCAAACAGTTACGAAAAACAAATGCAAAACCAAGTGGAACAAGCATGTTAAGATGATGCTTCAGAAAAAAAGAAATTCTTATAGAAGTCGATATCGCAATACAATGTTCACTTTAGGAGAAATGGCACCCCACCCCAGTATTCTTGCCTGGAGAATCCCATGGACAGAGGGGATACTTGGGCTACAGTCCATGGGGTTGCAAAGAGTCGGACACGACTGAACACGCAAGCGTGAGGAAGGAGATGACACTGGTCATTCCGTGCTGACGACAGCACGGTGACGTCAGGAATCGTTCCCGCCCACAGATGAGAACTGGGAGGGGCTGGGAAGAAGAGTGACGGCATGAGGATGAGGCAGCCGCGGGGTCCGTGGATGGACACTCCGCGTTCTGGGCGTGGCAAGCAGAAAGAAGAGACCGGCCAGGCGCACAG